AGATGAGGATGAAGACGAAGACGACGAGGATGATGAATTTGATGATGAGGATGAAGATGACGACGACGAGAATGATGAATTTGATGACGAAGACGAAGATGACGAAGACGAGGATGATGAAGATGAGGATGAATTTGACGACGATGAAGATGAAGACGACGAAGACGAGGATGAAGACGACGAAGACGAGGATGATGAATTTGATGATGAGGATGAAGACGACGACGACGAGGATGAAGAAGATGAGGATGAATTTGACGAAGATGAAGATGAAGACGATGGAGATGAGGATGATGAAGACGAGGATGATGAATTTGATGATGAGGATGATGAAGATGAGGATGAAGATGTAGACGACGAAGATGAAGACGACGACGACGAGGATGATGAATTTGATGATGAGGATGAAGACGACGACGACGAGGATGATGAATTTGATGATGAGGATGAAGATGACAACGACGAGGATGAAGAAGATGAGGATGAATTTAACGACGATGAAGATGAAGACGATGGAGATGAGGATGATGTATTTGATGACGAGGATGAAGACGACGAAGATGAGGATGATGAAGATGAGGATGAAGATGTAGACGACGAAGATGAGGATGATGAATTTGATGACGAAGAAGGAAATGAAGAAGAAAAAACAGATAATCATTAAGCCGGTATAAATGAGGACATTAATGTAGATGATAAAGCATTCATTTAATTTTGTGTTAATTTGTGAAATTGTTCTTAAAGTGATAAGTATTTGCTTGAAGTGTCTTTCTAAATCTGATGGCGATTCTAAGCTATTGCAATGACATTGAGACCAAGCTTTTTTAAAGGTTCCTTCCAATTTCACTTTTCGACATGTATATATGAGGTAACATGTAATCATAGAAGTGGAAGCACGCAGTTTTGACTGAGATTGGGCCTATGTGAAAATTTTGGCCATCATTAATATCTCTTGCATTAAGCAGCTACTTGACAGATTAGCAAATTTCTTCGACTGACAGCCTGATGTAAACCAGTTCTGACATGCTCATTTCTACACGCTTTTGCTGACAGGCAACTTTGTCTGCTTCAAATTCACAGTGCCGTGACATATTAGCACTTGTTCGCAGCACAGGCAAATGAGAAAGTGATTGAGGTGAGTAAGGTCGCCAATCTGCTAGCTCCAAGTTTTTCCTGCGTATAGGAATTTGTAAGTAATTAATTATCAAATAGGAAAGGTTGAACCGTTGGCAAAATAGATGTTGCAACATTTAGAAAAAAATTCACAAGATTGGGTATCTTGTTGCCAGTGCTAGGCTGTAATAAATTGTGTGGAAACGGCTGACTCGATGACAGTGCCTGTCAACTGATGTTGCAAGATCAAATTCTTCAGCTGCGGTAGCACACTGACTCTAGAAACGATGCTCTCTCACCCTCCTCCCACAGTAGCAAGGGATTTCCAAAGAAAGTGGACCGATTAAGAGTGTTCGAGGATGATGTGTCTCAAAATATGCCAGTTGGTGTTTCTGGCCTGTTGGTGTGCTCCCTTTTGCTTGCCCTTATTATCCGTTCTAACATCAATGCACTGCCAAATAAGAAAATACCATGGTTCTTGCGCAAAATGCATACTGACATCTCTGTTCGCTTTTTTGCATGTGATTTGTCTTGTTATGTAAAAAGATCGGAATGTCTTGATTTGCTTAGGGATGAAGCATAGGAGTTTGTTTCAATCACTGGTTAGAAAACGCTATAAAGTGACTTAGAGGCGTCAAATATGGACTCGATCGCGGCTAGGTTATGTCATAGTTTGAAAAAAGTGGTGAATGGAAAAAAACTATGAATTATTAGGTGTACGACTTAACTTTTAAAGACATAAACTTCGGGCCAAAAATTGTTTGAAAATTGATTTATTTTTGTGGTTTTCTGAGAATTAGACGCAAGGTTTTAGAATACCGACTGCCAAGTTTGCGTGAATTGCACAAAATTGCCGAGGAAACGACTACGATGGCAACTGATAATAGCACATTTGATGGTACTGCATTTGATAAAATATTCTAAAGCACAGGAATCGGTTTAAAGTGTTCTGTGCCTAATGAAACGTATAGTCATTAGTGCAGACGTTTTAAAAGAAATGAACCTGTTACGGACCCCAACGTGTGGTCTTGAACCTGTTATTTTTGCCCGTAACAAAGAGAAAACCACTCAAATAACGGTACCAGATCCCTTGTTGACGCTAGCACCAACGTTTAAACGCTAATACAAGAACATGACCAGAGCTTGTGTGTAGAGCTTTAACCACGTCAGCTACTTGCGGAATGAGTTGTCAAAAGTATGCACTAGTTCAAGTCTAGGTTGACCTTGACTCGATTTAAAGGCACAATAAAACATGTGTTAGTGAATTAGTACAAATTGTGCCGAAACCAACGATGAGCAATCTTGGGGAATCGTGGATCCCCAAAAGAATCACAACGGGGCCACTGAGTTGGATCTGGTCTCTCCCACCCGCGATGAAGAAAAAGGCCGGAGAGGACGTAGTCACAACCGTTTACTTTTGAGCTTAACCAATTTGATATCTTTGTGTCGCGCGCGTGTGTATTTATACCTCAGATGTGTGTGTCATGGATGTGCTGCCATCGAAACCTACGTGTGAGGATAATCTAGTATACCGAAGAATATTGAGCTGCTGACGTTTAGACTGCAACAGGAAACTGTCCGCTTAGGCTACAAGGATAGCTATTAGTACAACGAGAGGACGTGTTGTTTTCAGCATCATTAGTACAACGCCGTCGAAGCAACTGTTGCGGCCCAATATAACGCGGGGTACCCTAAGAATAAATAAAACCGGAGAGAGCCAGGCACAGCAACTTACTGAATACTTAGTAGAGCTGCATTTTCGTTTGCGTGTATCAAAGTTAGTGTATAACTCGTGTGTTTTGTTCACCGAGGCAGTAAAGTGAACTAGTGAAAATACAGGCATCAGAATGACCAGAGAGATAAAGCGGGCAGCTGTAGATCGGGCACAGAGTAAGTGAGGTGGCGATATTAACGGACCGTGTGCAGGAGCATGCTCGACAACACAATTCGCCACACAGCTATGCATTAATATTTGCCCATGCACGAAGCAATAGATGCAGGTGAATGAATTCACAAAAGTTGTTAATGGAAACCCACTTTAAAAGACTGGATGTGCGATGAAGTGGCCAATTGACGAAGTCCACAAACTTCATACTGAATTTTCTGTTCCCCTTTTGCATGTAAATCGCCTCCAATTGAACAAAGACTCGTACCCGACACAAAAAAACCTGCCTATCTTGTTATGCTTTGAGAAGTGCATTAGGCGCTTGAGATATCCATGTAACTAATCCATCAAATTTGGATTTCTGCTATTAGAAAATCGTGCTGATTCAAGTCGGGGTATTTACTTTATTTAATTTCTGCCAGAAAACCACGAGTCACACTCGCTCATCGTCCCAGCATCTGCATTGAGATTTGGACAATTTTAAGCACGTCTGCAAGCGCCACCTGTGTCCCTCATGCACTTCAAATTTTTCCTGTGATGCTGTCTAATATTAATGATGAATAGGGAGATTCAGAAGAAATTCATTTCACTGGTATGGTTTTTTTACAAAGGGTCTTGAAGTAAAAACTGGTGAAAGAAAGACTGGCATTATGTAAATAGCAAAGAAATGCTTCAGAACTCTGTAGATGTACTTTAAAGATACGCTAAATCATTGACTGCCTGCCATGTCGTGTGAGTGCTGCGCGTTAAAAGACCTTAAATTGTCAGGAACTAGAGTTTGTTTAATTAACTATTGTCATTAGATGCCTTTCCTTCTCCAAATAACCACCTTCAAGCAACGACAGAACGTACGCATTGCCCGTCATCTGTGTTGCGTCCTTCCACAGATTGCAACCGGCTGTTAACTAGATGGTAGCAAGGCAGTTAGAGCAATGACATGTGGTGACTCGCGTTGATTCACACTAGTTGATCAGTTCATTCCAGCACAATTATGACTCATACCTGAGCTATGGACACGCACCCGCAAACGCCAAACCTCACAAAGACACCAACTACGTTGATCTCGGAAGTAAACGGTTGTGTTTGGGTTGAAGGGAAGCGCAATCAGGCCAGATCCAACTCAGTTGCCTCGAAGTGGTTTGATACCTCATGATGGGCCCCCAAAACAGACACCACAAATACGCCACAAGTAATAAACAAGTTGATGGCTTTTCGCGGAGAAAAAATTATTTTGAATAGTTCAGAGCACTTACGTTATCAGCGAAACCAGTAAGGACGCGTTGTATAGCAGAACTATAATCGAAGGAACAATCACAGTATTTGCATCTAGAGTGTTTGCTAAACACAAAATGGAAGATAGCCAAGACAAAACGAGGAATTACAAAGACACGTCTTTCCTGTGCGCTCAAACGCAGTGAATGACATATGGGAATAATTGTAAGTGAGTTCCTCGCTTTGCCTAATATCGCGTTTTGCAAACAACGCCAACAAGGGCTCCACGTCGTCTACTCGCACAGGGATAACTGTCATATTGGGATCGCAGGCGTGGTTGATGAGACTGGTACTCGGCAGTTCCGTTTGTGGGTCCGTGACTTCGTAGGCGCCATCAATTATAGTTAAAAATGCTTGAGAAAGCGGATTCAAAACGAACTCTCTG